AGTTAAAACGGTGTGAGACACAGCCTACAGTAAATCTTCTTTGCAGTTTCATTGCCACAGTTTACCAATTTTTTCTCCACACGGATGTTGTTGAACACTGTGTAAATGGCATTTTCTTAATGAACAATTTCCCGACTTGAAGTGCATCTTGAACTGTGTACCACTACTGGTAGAAGATGCCAAATACAGCCCGAGTTCTGCTGTCAGTGCCATGGCAGAGGTATGCCAGCAATTATATAGAGGCCCGTTTCCAGAACTCCTGAGACACAGGGTGAACAAATACCTGGACTCCAGAGAAACAGATGTTTTTGGCAGAGCTCGATGTTCTAAACTTTAAATTTCATAGGAATATGATTTCAAAAATGTTTTGGAAAAATACATGTAACACATGATGTAGCTATTATTAATTGCCATTCTTCTGTTCCTACACTGATAGTTTTCTGTCTATGCCACACAGTAGTTGTCATTATTATGTACTTTGTAAGTAAATTGTTTGCTCTACTGGTAGCTTTTATCATAACATAATGTTATCTCTTCAGGGGCGGTGATGCATTTTTGGACCATGATTTTTGTGATCGGTGCCACAGGAATGTTACATACATGTAGCTTAACTGCTGATTCAAAATATAAATTTAAATGCCAAAGGCAAATTATTTCATTGCATTAAATGAATTCGAATTTCCAAGAATTCATTGCAGTTATATATAACAATTTAGAGCTATTTTTTATGTAAATTTATCAAATCTTAAATCTGGCAGTTTTTTCAGCCACCTAAAATATTGTGCCTAAATAAATAAATGTGTGAATAATAGAAAAATATATGATAGAAATAAGTCTTTTGATACACCTTACTAACACTATAAACATAGGCCAATGATATTTTTGGCTCCCAAAATTCGCCGATAGTCAGAAAAAATATCATCCCTGTATGACAAAAGCAACAAGGCAAAATCCATTTTCTTTTTTTCAGAATCCCAAAAACAATCTACAAGTAAAATTGCCCTAGAGTGTTGGCAAACACTGAACAAGGCTGCCCATAAAATATGCACCCTACCTGACTTTCAAATCACCCTTTAAAAGTCTGCGAGTTGTTTATGTCCCAGTGGCCACTTCAGACTCATGTACAGGCACACTACTGCTCTCCTGGCAGTATATCTAAGTAATTCAATAGCAGAAGTTCCATTTCAGTCCTGCTGAGTTCAAGATTCAAAGTGACACTGAGTTAATTAAGTCTTCTACTGGTAGCTATTTTTACCCTCTTAAACATGGGGCAGAGAGAGAGAGAGAGAGAGAGAGAGAGAGAGAGAAAGAGAGAGGAATAAATGTATTCATAAAAAGAGGGTTAAAGATGTGCTGAAATTGTATGTATACGTATAGGTGATTGTATACTGTACATGTGTTTGTGAGAGAGACAGAAAGAGAGCAAACGACAGAGAGAGATTGAGAGAGGCCTGTTAATTCCAACTAATACCATTCTAAACTCATCTAACTACTGGAGGTACATGATCATCTGGCTGTGCCTACATTATATCTCCTTACACATATTGGAGTTATGACTATAAGCGCATTCAGAACAGTGGACAAAGAGATCTGCAGATCAAATATGGCAACCCACTAAAAAGCTTGCCACTTAATTCCCTGCGAGGATTATGCAACAAGCATTCAAGTGGGTCGGCCATATTTGATCCGCAGAACTGTTAGTTCGCTGTTCTGAATGCACTTTATATGAGAGGGTAGAGGAAATGAGAAAGACAATCAAGTCAATGAATAAATTTTGCAGCACAACCTATATAAAATCTTATCTGAAGAAGGTTTCATCTTAAGAGGCAATTATTTACAAATCAACACACCTCTGCAATCGTCCTGACCCTTGGAATAATACTGATAATATTAAGGCCATGCATGTCAGTCACTGTACTACTGAATGCCACTATTACACATTTTGTGAAGATTCTATACATTTTACTCTTTTTTTTCAGGTGATATATAGGAATAAGGTAGGTTAATTTATTTTTTTCTGTAATCAAAAAATTCACAACAGTTAAGAGACTTTGGATGGAGAGAGATTCACCTTATTTCATTTTAATTTACAGGAAGTAAAATAAAATAAATGAAATCCAAAATTGAAATATTCAAATTGGAAGAATATTTAGTTCACTTTTTGCCACTTTTTAATTTTCTTTAAACTTGGCTCTGTGATTTTGGCTATTTTTCATGTTTCCAGTGCCCAAATATGCTGGTAAAAATAACTTCTCATTACAGCCTCAGATATTGATAAATTCAATTCAAAAATATGATGTAAAATTGCATCTAATAAAAACAAACTAATTGTTTATATAATTATCCTTTATACTTTTTACTCTAACTGGCGTATAATCACATATGAAGCACTTTTGCTCAACATAAACATTTTTAAGGTAAAAATTACTAATTACTTTTATAACACATTTTATCACAAATTTCTTTTCATTGGTTTGATATTAAAAAGCGTAGATCCTCACCTGTAGACTTACCTGACGTTGGTGACTGTTACAGAGTTACCTTTCTTAATGAAGGAATGTGAAACAAGCTTAAGATGATCACCTTACTCTTAACGCCCACCACCAAGATGAAGATGAGAAGGGGGAGGAGGAAGGGGGGCGCTATCAGTAACCAAAAGACCTCTGACACTTGTTTTATTTATGCTCAATTGATATTCAACTAAGCAAATAATAAAATTGATAATAATCTAACAGTAACCACCTCCTTTTTGTCCATGTGAAAAGACTGACTTGTCACAGTACTTGTTTGCTTTTATACCAAATTACTGGCAGAAATGTGCACACAGCTAGTAGTTTTAATAAAAGTTTGAGAGCCCCAACCTCTGGGTTCTGGTATAAAAATAAAAGATATTTTAAAAAATAATAAAAATGGTCATGTTTTCTAGATTTTCTCCTAAAATGAACCACAAAATTATCAACCTAAAATGGACTAAAAATGTATCAGAAATAAACTTCCCGTTTCAATCTTACCATCTTTGGTCCACCTCTGTAAATTATCAGCAGAATTGCATAAAGTGCGACACTCATCTTCCTGCGTGTTATCTTATCTCGAGAGGCTCATAAAGAGATCAAACGGCTTAACACTCCCAGATAACATGAGAAGTGGTTTAAAACCAGGCAAAAAAGTTGGCAAACATACAGATACAATGTACCAAAATACAATTAATGAGTATCATTTTGTATTTCATCAGTTATAAATAATATAATAATAAAAATAATAAGAATTAGAATATCAACTTATTAATACTAATAATAAAAATAATAATAATAAGTTAATTTCATGAGTAAATATAACTAAATTCAAATTTAATAAATAATTAAACTTGTGAAAGTTATAGCTGTTTCTATTATGCAATCATGGACCGTGTACTTAATATACCATGCAAAAAAAAAAAAAATAATAATAATAATTAATAAATAAATAAATAAAAATAAATAAAAAAATGAAAAACAACTGATACCGAAAGTTAGTTGCATAAGAATGACAGTATTTATAAAACAAAGGGCGCCAATCATTGGCCCAAGTATGTCCTAGATAACCAGGTAGAGTATACTGACCAGTCCTAGTGGACCTTGCCTTACTTGACCAGTGTACAGATATACATAACAATGCAATGACCACCTGAGCGTCCCAGGTAGATTTAAGGATGTCCAATATTAAGTTCATCCTCCATGTCAAGACTGTCTCACACAACAGAGATACAACAACAGTAACAGAGATAAGTGTTCAGTAATCTGTGAAATTCAGGGTACCACAAGAAGTACAATCAATATCTCATTGACTTTAAATCAGAACAACAGAAATTTAATCATCTAATTATATTCTGCTAATTGGGCTGACATATACATCCCATCCCAGGGCAGTGGCAGGATGAGTTCAACCATATCTCCAAGACATGTATTGGTATACATTATTCCCTATCTTTTGGGTCCTGGTTTTAATTGATTGATTAAGATTGCAAGTACACATTTACATGTATATTGAAGTTGCTTGATTATCTTTGGTTATAAGAGAGAGAGAGAGAGAGAGAGAGAGAGAGAGAGAGAGAAGGTGAGAGAGAGCTAGAGAAAAAAAGAGAAGAGAATGCCACACAACCAAAAATAGTTGATTCATTGCCACGTTGGGTCCACCAGTCCAAGTATGTCTCTAACATTATGGTCCAACGAACAAGCTGACAAAAAAGAACAAAGCTGACATATTTTCAGAGCAGCTCCATCACCAGGGGGCCGTAAAAATCCCACCCCCTACATCGTGTCTACAACAATTCCCTAAATTCCCCAAACATGAAAAATTTATCCTTGACATACGACTCTGTGCATCATGTTATTTATTTATTTATTTATTTATTTATTTATTGTCTTTTTTTATTAAGCTTCTTACTTTTCCCTATCTACAGCAGTGCTTCTGAAACATGAATAATACCATTTCACATAATATTATATAGTTTACTAGTATCACTTCATGATGAGGCAGAGATGAAAGATGTAATGAACTTCAACTGTTAATTTTTTGAAGAATGTTTGCTTATATGTGACTTAATTCCACATTTCATACATAGCAACTGATATCTGTGGTACAAGCACAATACAGTAATTACTCCATCTTTTCAATGGGCAAAAACTATCAAACTTTCAGTTTCATAATTTTAAAATCACAAAAATTTTATTTCTATATAGCATAAGTGGTGCTTTAACTACATATAGAATAGAACTATAGAGTATCCTGCTATTTAATTTTGTTGCAACCAATCACTAGGAGTTTTTTAATTTTTAGAAAATTTCGACATTCAATATACAGTATCTGTAAAATGCCTAATTAACCCCTCCTTCCATTTAAAAGATCAAGTAATTACCTTTCAGCTGCATTCAACAGCAGTAGTACAGTGTAGATGCGCAAGTCATATCATTAGGTCTTTGAATTAAGAAAAAGAGAAAAAAGCGTCACTTAAATATACATACCTGCTCATGTGAAGTTAGATCTCTCCTTACTAGTGTAAAAAAAAAATTCCAATCTCTTCTATTCCAACAGTGATTCTAGGTTCCAGAAGCAGCTATGGAAATGTCCAACTACAAAAATTGCTGGATTCTGAAAATTCTGGCTGCGTTCCATCCTTGGTTGTCCTTTAAACAACAGCTACAACGCTGGGCCTCCTATATGAAAAGGTTGAAATAATTATTCAGGTCAAATCACTTTGACATTGATTTTAATGATGAGGCATGCGTCTCTGATGAAGTTTTTTTTTTTTTTTTTCAAGAGAGAGAGAGCTAAGAGTTGTTTACAATTGGGTCGGAAATGCAGCGACACCTACTGATGTCATTGTCAAGGTGTAATGTTTTTATCAATACCTTAGAAAACCTAAGTTTGATTAAATATAGGCGAAAAAAATATAATTAGGAATAATTTTGAAGAGCTTCACTCTTTTATGCATCCACTTGCGTTATGCTTTAAAAAGTAATGAATTAAGTTAATTTAAATTTACTGAATAAAGACTGGAGATATCGATGTCAAGATAAATGCCACATCTTGTGCTTTCAAGAAGATTAGATGTTAAAAAATTGAATAAAAATAAATCTTCACAAGCAGAAGTAATACTAGTAGTTCAGAACTCGGTATCAATTCAGAACCCCCCCTGCTCCACCCACCTTAAAAAACAATATATAATAATTAATAAATCGTGCAGGAGTTCATTCTTCTGTGATATATAAACAGCCCCAATCTCTTAACAGAATTATAATTCCAGGAACTCATATCTTTCTAGGTACTTTACGGATACGCATGTTATGTATCAGTTGGATCTTCCAGGAATTTTATTTCTGAAAACAGTATTAAAGCCAGTATACAGTAGAATATATATATGGAGTACACATAAGGCCAGGAGGTCCCTAACACACAAACCTGGTTTGACAATTATGAATTATTTCATTTCCTACTGTGTGGGTTTTAACACAGTCTCTTAATGAACATACAATGACACAAACAATTAACGGAAACAAGTTATTATTGTGTTAGCTGTCTAAGAGCAGCATTAAATTACACCATATGCGCTATAGTTAACGAGACCAGTCGAGTACTGCTCATTGTATGGAATTAAATTTAGTGTAATTATCAAAGCAAAGCTGTATACTGCAAGCAGTAAGCAAATCATCTTGTAACAGACTGATTCTGTGCTTCAAACTTTTGCTTTCAAGAAGATTCAAAACAGCATGGATATTGCAGTATATAAAAATTCAGACAAGTGTATACTTCTTGTAATAAGCAAAATATGAGTACTAGTATATGTACATGTGGAATTATCATAATTAGGATGCTTTGTATGGACAGTAGATTTCAATTAATAAATAAAGTCTAAAAATGTATAAAACAGACTGCAAAACAATATTTCCTGTATCTGTTGTACACTACTTTATTTTTAATACTTATCTGTTAACACACCTGATGCTGGGTACAAGATAAATTGTTCCTCCTCATCCAACTATCACAAAACCCTGCCTGAGATGTTTTAAAGTCCTGCACCCTAAACTCCAAATCAATCTAAAAGGGTTCCAACATCAATGTCTACAAAACCCACATTCTGGCTAATGCACGATTGGGAGTTACATGTATATTTAAATGCAATCCATTAACTAATGCATAAAATCATGAAAATTCAATAAGCAGATTTCACCCTACATGCAGTAGACCCATTCAGCCTCTGTTCCAGGCGACACAAAACTCTCTGTCTCCAACAGCATTAAGTCACCACTCCACAAATTATTGGTTTCCTGGTTGGAATATTTGCCTTGTTGATATTCAGGACAGCCAATGCTTGGTTCAGACTAAGGTAATTTTGAACTGTATATCGAGCGCTGCATTCATAACTAAAGTTGATCTGCTGACTAACAGATCTGGCGATCAAATATGGCCGACCCACATGAATGCTTGTTGTGTGATTCCCACAGGGAATCTGTTCAGTGTCTAATCCGGAATTAAGTGGCCAGCCTTTTATTTGCTCACCATATTTGATCTGCGGATCTGTTAGTCCGATGTTCTGAATGCGCTCCAACAGATCCGGGGGATCCAATATGGTTAACCCACTTGAAAACATTCCGTGTAATCCCCCTGGCGAATCTATGCAGTGTGTAATAGGAGATTATGCTGCAAGCTTTCAAATGGGTTGGCCATAGTTAAACAGCAGATCTGTTATAGCATAGTGGGGCCTCTTTGTGCAGTGAATGGAATAATAGAGGGCATTCCCAGAGATTAGATCGATCCAACTAGATCGACCTAACTCCCTGGGGGTTCACGCCAAATAGCTGTCAGCCGAGCGGGCACTAAAGTTAATTACCCCCTTTCAGCTTGTAGTAGGTGGGACGGACATTTAAGCCAGATTATCTGACAGTAATCTAGTGAGACTCCCCACAGGGAATGATCGATCTAAAATCTATGGGAATGCGCCCATACAGACACCCCACTGAAAATAAGACAATGAAATCTATGTTCGATTGAATGTATTCTTTGATCAACTTTGGTTGTGAAAATGGCCTAACACAAGTTTTTCTACCTTTCAGTCCAAAATAATCCTTGAGTGAGCATCTATCATAGTTGTAACTGTAGATGATGAAACAGTGAAGAAAAACAAACTGAGGCTGGCATGATGTTCAATAACAAATTGAATTGCAACAATTTAATCAGTGTCAAACCAAGAGGAATGTTTGATTAGTAGTAGTCTTACATGCTGTGCGCAGTCATTTCTCAGTAAGTTTAAACAAAGTTGATTTTGTATTCTGCAAAAAGATGCTGATGCTGAAATTAGGAAAAGTGAGTGAAACTCTTATTATGTAGTAGTACCAGAAGAAATGTCAAAGACATGTGGATAATAAAGGAGTTTCCAGCAATCTCTGAAACTCCTGCAAGCTGGTAACATTGGACGAAAGGCAGCATGGTTGTTTTGACACACAGTGATGATTAAGACCAATATATGTAACCATTTCTAAGTAATGTTGATAACAGTAAAATATTGTATCCACACTTTTTATATATAATTATCAAAAGGAAATGTATCAGTATATATATTGCCTTAATTTTTAATGATTCTTATAATATTACTGTATTCTTAAAGTGAACTTGGTCCAAATGATTAAATTGTTTTAATAATTAAATGATTTACCATGATATTTGCTACAAATGCATACTGTAGTGTAAAATGAGCAGGCAAAAGTGGCACTGTGCCACTCAAAGATCTGGGATCAAATATGGCCTTCCCACTTGAATTTCTATATTATTAACTATCATTTATTAACACATTGTTTATCATTTATTACCATATTGTTTTTTAAATAACAGTGCCACCAATGTATCATTCAACTCCATCATTTTTTTTCTGAGAGAAAATTCAAATGAAATTGTAGCGCTGGAACCAAATGAAGTTTTGGACATGCACTGGGTTATTCCGTCTGTACAATGTAGTTTCAACCTCTCCTTGCAAAGAACTTTTTTTGAAAATTCTATAAGGGTTCAGAAATTGTGTGAAATGCCATTATGTGGCAGAAAGTTTCATCCTAAAAGCTTTTCCAGATCACTGTAAAACAAAAGTATGCATTTACAAGTACATTAAGCTTGTCTCTGCCTGCAGCAATGCTGCATTAAAGGTACTCTTCATTTCCCCCTGAGTTGTTTGGGAAAATTCTGGCCAATTATTTATTTACAAGTACAAAATATTTCTTTGATTTTTGCTGTAGGGAATTCACTATGGCAGTTGATTACTTATTACTTCTAATAAATACCATACTATAGGTGCAAAGTTTGAATTCTTGCTGTTGCTTTTTTTTTCAATAAATAGATAGATAAATTAAAAAATTAATATAAAACAACAACCAAAATTTTGTTGCTTTTTCTCAAGTTTGATTAATATTCTGGGGACTACCTGGTCCCAGGGAAGATGTATTTTTGTACTTTTTAGTAGGAGATTTTAACTTAGGCAAATCAAGCCTTTAAGCAGAGTGTGTTTGTGTGTGTGTGTGGGGGGGGGGGGTTAGAAAGAGCCGGAAAAGGTTTTCACTGAATCAAAATTTGACGTACATGTAGGTTCTATGCCATTTCTGAAGTTGGGTCAAACAAGGGGTAAAGATTTAAAAGGTCCAAAGTAATATGGTTGAAGATAAATTATGGATCCCCCTTTTTTGCTAGCTGAAGGCCTGAAACTTTACAAATTAAATTTAGACAGCATAATAGTTAACATTTATCATGAAACGAAATTTATATATACCATAGATCAAATGTTGGGGTTTATACGAAACAGAAAGAGAAGTGAAATTAGAAAGAAATAAAAGAAGACATCATCCAGTTTGAATAGACTTACCGAAGAAAACAATCCAACAATTTTACAGTCAAAACAATCAAATATGTATTCACGTTCCTAGTATGTGAATATTTCTTCTGTCCATTTAATATTCATCCATCCCTTTAAAGTTAAGATTTCCTGCTCCAGATGCCACCACAGGCAAGGTCCAGGGGGAGTAAATTTACATTAAGTCTTGGAGCAGACAGCTTTACTCCTTTAAGTTAATAATTCCACCTCGTAAATAAAATTAAGCCCAATCCCAGCAAATGCATTTTTCCAATCAAATTATAGATATTCTCACACTTATAATCCAATTTAATGGAACCAAAGATCATTCTCCATTGATTGAAATGATGGTGCCATCAATGGATAAAAAGCTAGAGGTCCAATTCCAAAACTAGAACATTTTTGTCCAACTGAAGCAGACACCAATGTCCAAAAATCAATCTATAAACAGTCCAAGTGAACATGCACATGTAACTTTTAAGCATCTATCTCACTGTCCTAGCATACTGATAAAATTTACAAAATTCCAAAACATATTCCTGTGCATTTCTTTTGCGTTTAGCAAAAGGTTAATTCATACCGTAGTCTCAATGAGGCCTGATCCAGCTCCATTCTTTCAATGAACTTTATCTGTTTGATCAGTGTCTACATGAGTCTTCTGAGGTTGTTTCTTCTATTGCAATGATCTTCCAAGTTGATTGCTCATGAAATCCATAAATACCATTCCCATGTTTCTACGTTGACCACAGTATCAATTGATCCAAGCAGCTGATTTCTGCCAACTTCAGACCAATGTAGGAAATGTTCCAGAACTGTTCCAGAGCAATATGTTCCAGAGCGGTTCTCTGAAGGGTTCCTCAATCCATCCTGGCCCATGCACCAATCAAATGTGCATCAGGAACATGATTGTGTAATGGGCAGATTAACTCTGGTTTCTTATCAGATGCCCTCTCACAGGCTGGCTTTTGTGTCCCGTATGCCCCCGTCTTCCAACAAGAAATTCAAACTCGGTGCAGTCCTTACCACTACCACACAGTCTAAAAAGGAGGGTTTACTGCAGCAAGGGGCAGTCTGAGGATGCATTCAGAAAAAGTTGATCCATGGACTAACAGATTCGCAGATCAAATATGTGGAACCCACTTGAAAGCTTGCCACATAAACCCCTAAAAGGCACATTATAGTTTCCCCCCAGGGACTACCCAGTAAACTTTCAAGTGGATCAGCTACATTTGATCTGCGGATCTGTTAGTCCATGGATCAACTTTGATTGTGAATTTGGCCTGATAAGACCTATAGTGATTGTGGAACATCAACAAAAACTAACATCACTGATGGCACATTTACACAAATACTACAGGATCTAATTACACCCCTCAGTAGTCTGAGTGGTAAGAAAGTGAGATACGTTTATCAAGGACATGGTCTGCAAATATTTTTTTTAGTCATATTAATCTAAAATAAACTCCACAAAAATTCACATTTGTTGCTTTCCTTGACTAACTTAATAAAATAAAATAGGCCATATCCAAAATTTCATTATCATGGTTCACAATCCACATCAAAGCTCAAAATGTTTACATTTTCAAATTGGATCATGTTTAGCATGTGGCTAAAATTCAATATGCCAACTCCAGACCTGGGGTGTATACTTGGCTTAATGTTCCTCTGTCAGTAGCAACAAACACTGAAATGGCTGATATGGTAATTGATGGTCAGGTCAGTGACCCTCTTTAGCAGGGTATAATATTGAAGTGACCAGAGTCAGGCTTAATTCTGTGTGGTTTTCTTGAGATTTCAGCATACATATTATTCAGTTAAAACAAGGAAAATCACTACTGGCTACATATAATCTCCTAGACATGAAGTTTTGATTCAAATTAATCGGCTTGATAATTACCACATATTGCAAGAAAGCAATACACAGATTCTACGTGTATATATTTTTTGAATTGGTTCTAAATTAAATAACTTTAGCAATGTATTTATTTATTTATTTTGTTCAATCAACAATTTTCCTCAATTCCTGAATAAACTGGAGAGAATGGCTGTCATTTTCTTTAAATCAAAGTAAATGACAATATTACTGCTATATTGAAATTATATATTTTTGGTTTGATTTTTGTTTTCTTTCTACTAACAAAACAAACAGTTTTGTGCCAGGTGCAACCAGTACATGTGATTCACAGACTGCTTGGGAAATGTTTTAACCAATGCTTCCCAGTAAACAGTTTTGGTTTCCCTTTCCAGATCTACATGGTTTGTGCATGTCAAGTGTGGCCTCCAGGACACAGCCCAGACTGGGCGTTTTAAAATACTGACCCAACAACCAGCTGTACTTGGGTCAGTGACTGGTCATCCCATGGCGACTTCAGAATATTTAACCAAAGTTCAGGTCAACAGTTATCCTCGTTTCCCTGCTTCCCCCCTATTACTAGCATCAGTTCTGTCACATCCTCAATATAATGGAGTTTGCACAGAGGTAAATGTGTTAGGTGTGACAGGCTCAACTAACACAAAAACCTGATCACTGTGATTGTAAATTTGTAAAGTCCAGTAGTCATTACAGTTTCAACATTGTGTTACAATTATTCTCTCCCCTTTTTATAATATTTTCACTTCCTAAACCATGACTCCATTAAATCAACCCTAAATACACACAATGAGACAATTAATTAAGTTATTAATATATATTAAACATTTATTTCCATTTCATGTATACATATTATATTCATTCATATATTATATATAATACAAATATCCATCACTAACACAAAATCCAGAGAGCTGAAGAGATATCTGTCAACTATTTTGTTTCTATATGCACTGCACATCTACATGTATGTGTTTATGGAGTATGGTGATTTTTTCACAAAAATCTGTCACCTCTCATCTTTCAATTAGAACATTGAAGTGTAAAATTCGTGACCTAAATTTAACATAATAATAATAATTATAACGATAATAATAATGAGTCAAGAATGCAAATAGCTATTTTGTATAGTAATGGGTAATTTTTGAGGGAATTCATATATCTGGCCTGCCAGCTGAATCTGATATACAGACTGCTGTTGAGTCTTATTTCTCATGACTAGCTTTTGTCTCAATATGCCACCCTATTTATATGGGTAAAATGTGGCACTGCTTGGCTTGTTTGCTACGTCAGTTCACATTAAGCATACTAAGGCAGTGCAACATAAAACCTCAATATATGAGGGGGATATGAGCTCGTGAAAACATCAGAGGAGCTTCAAGTTTCTCTAACCCACATCACATTAGGTAATGATACAAAATAAAAATAAATAGATAAAAATAATCATGCCAAGTATTGTATAGTTATAATATTTTCAAATATCTTTATATAACACGTATTTCCCTTATCATGTATTCTTAGAATATGAATATACTACAAAAAATACAGTCACATTGATATGGTCTTTGGTAGATACGGCGAACAAATCTTAAAGCCCTGTACCAGTACATTCCTGATGCTAGAAAACTAACTTAATCGGTGTAAATTGGGGTGTAAGTATTGTAGTTTACTATTGTCTTGTTTCAACAAAAAGTCTTACTTATTAAGAAATATTTGAAGCTTTTAAGAATTGTAAATATACTATAATAAACACATGCACACTTATATATATCATGGTAAAATCCAATAAATATACATATATAATCAAAAATTCAGTTTAGACAGAAAAGTAAAGTAAAACTTTCTACAAACTCTGTAACAAGCTTCATCAAGTTCAGTTATTTGATTTTGGACTAGCTTTTTGAGTAAGGGAAGGTTTAATTTCACAAAAATATAACCACCTACAAATGTAGAAGAAATATGACTTATAATAACTTGATTTTCTTTTTCCAATTATCCCCTGTTCCATGCAATTACAATATATCCACTGTTATGCACCCAAATTATTATTTTTTAAATAGCACTTTTGAAATACAACAATAAAAACTGAAGTTTTACATCTTAAATAACAATCAATGCCAGAGTTTATCGTAGTCATTTAACCACATATTTTCAAGATAATTTAATACATTACATTTTAAATAATAATGGTATCAAAGATTTCTAAACAAACATACTCAGGTATCATAATTGTTCTTCTCAGTGTTATCAAAAACAAAAAACATATTTATGTAATACCAAAAATAAAGCACCATTTCAAGTTTACTGTAATAGCCTTTTACGCTGCAAGCAATAAATAAGATCCGTGGCATCAAATTGACAGGAAAAGTTTGATCCTCTGAAATCCTGAGAGTAAAATGAAAATTGATATGTTATAAAAACGCAATTATGGGACAAACACCAGTACTCTGATTTCACTTACAAAAATAAAACATAAAATGAGGCTGTCTGGTTTTGCTGATTAATTTTCTAATTAATTTACTATTTAAAATACAATGAAGCTATTTTATTTTATCTGACTATATCATGGTTGTAGGCTGTGCCATGCTACTGCAGCCAGCTGCTTTAAAATTTGAATTTAGCAAGAAAGATAGATGAAATTGGACTTAAAAAAACTGAAAATGCAAGTACTGAATGAGGTGTTTGGGGGGAGGGGCATAAAAGCACCAATCATATACCCAAATTAATCTAGAAGTCTTTCATCTCCAATTCTTAGTAAAATTGTGTCATGGACATTAAAATAAGAAATATAATATGGAGAATAATTTAGAAATTGAACCTGTTTGTGGTTGGAAGAAACAACAAATTGTGCTGATGATATCTTGACCTCAGTTGTATGTGTATATCATATCACCTTGCCATTCAGTAGCAAGTTTTACATGAACATATGCAATCACTAATGTGCCCTTATAAGGAACTCATCTGCATATTGTCATGGCAACTTAGGGCACATAAATAGGACTTAAATGAATTACAGATGGTACACTGCTGAAAATTCTTATCCATATATAGGTCCAATAGATGATATGAATTATACATATTGTAAGGACACAACAGTGCCTGAAGACTTATCCATTGTGCAGACAACTTGGAATACATATTTAACCCATCACAAAATGTCAAATTTGGTTGTGCAGATATTCCATATATGGTGTTACCATGGCAACCACCATATTATATACTTGCCTTGAGGCATTCCCTTATATATGGTGTTGCTATGGCAACAAAGTGAAACTTCCCCTATTTTTGATCTCCATGAGTGTTAATACTACCACAGTCACCAACTGAATTCCCACCAGAAAAAGTGATAAAATATTCTAAATGCTGACATTGCTGATCACCAA